AGGCGAGCAGGGGGAGGGGCGGTGCCCCGGTGATTCCCATCACGAACAGTGAATCGGGGGGGGGGCGTCCTTGCGAGTAGTGGGGAGGAGGGAGAGAGGGGGAGGGAGGGGATGGGGAGGGGAGGGGAGGGGAGGGGAGGGGAGGGGAGGGAGGGAGGGAGAGGAGGAGTGAGGAGGAGGAGGGAGGAGAGTAGGAGGAGGAGGAGGAGGAGAAGAGGAGGAGGAGGAGGAGGATGAGGATAGGAGGAGGAGGAGGAGGAGGAGGAGGAGGAGGAGGAGGTAGGAGGAGGAGGAACAGGAGGAGGAGGTAGGAGGAGGAGTCAGGAGGAGGGAGGAGGAGCACGGAGGGAGGAGGAGGAGGAGGAGGAGGAGGAGGAGGAGGGAGGAGTAGGGAGGGAGGAGGGAGGAGGAACGAAGAGGGAGGAGAAGGATGAGGGAGTTTGGAGGAGGAGTGAGCAGGAGGAGGAGGAGGGAGGAGGAGGAGGAGGAGGAGGAGGAGGAGGAGGAGGAGGAGGAGGACGGGAGACCGGTGCAAATTCATCATCGATGTTGGAATAGACCCTCCCTCCAAGCTCCCTCCTCACAGGCGCCTACAAGGATTCTTTCCACTGAGGGACGTGCCCCGTTAGGAGACAACCGTATGAAGATTTTGAAGCGTGCCAAAACAGCATGATCGGGACATCAGCGCCGTGAATCAACGTGATTGCTGCATATCGACAACCTTGAATCTTGGCAGAACACCATCCCTGGGACTTCAGCACCGCGAGTCAAAAAAACTGTTGCGCCCTATGTGACATTCCTGTGTCGCTCCCAAACACCATTTCTGGCACGTTAACGTGAATCTTTTTCACTCGTGTTATACGAATGTGCGCAGCGCTAAGGTGAGAGCCACATTTTGAAAAGCAACCGCCTTCATCTGTGAAATTCTTGCACTGCGTAAGACGAGTGTTCGCGGCGCTAATGCGAGAGCCACATTTTGAAAAGGAACCACCCTCCATGCGTGAAGCCCTTTTTAATATATAAGAATCGATGTGCGCGGCGCAAAGGCGAGAGCCATATTTTGAAAAGGAGCCGCCCTCAAACTATGAAGCTCTTGCTTCGCTAATGTGATGCATCGCGCCCTCCATCTGTAAATCTCTTGCCGATTTCGAAACCTTCGGATCATAGGAAGTCTCAGGCGAAACGCCCGGCCCGCCCTTCCGACTGGCCCAGGGAGGAGTTATTGATAAGGTAAGGGGGTGGAAGGAGGAGGATGAGGGAGGAGGAGGTAAAAGGGGAGGGAGGGAGGGAGGGAGGGAGGCAGGGAGGGAGGGAGGGAGGGAGGGAGGGAGGGAGGAGGAGCAGGAGGAGGAGGAGGAGGATGACGAGGAGCAGGAGTTGGAGGAGGGTGCTGCAGGGGGAGTGCCAGGCATGCGCCGCGCCCGCGTCACGGGAGCCCTATACTACTGAGAGGAACCGAACATCCACGCGCGCCCGCCCCAGCCGGGCCGGCTCCGTGCGATCGGCGCCCCGATGCTGCGGCCCGGCCGATCGGGTCGGCGCCCAGCAGGGCGGAGGCCTTTTGCTGGTTCTGGCCATGAGCAAGTGGGGAAGAGGTTCGAGGTGTTGGGCTTGCGCTTGAGAAGGCATTTGTTTGTAGCATTTGTATTCGTAGGAGCACCATTGTTGTTATTCTGATGATCATCATCATTATTATCATTGGCATTCTAAGTATTGCTCTTTGTACGAATCGTACTCTGTGTTTGAAAAGATGTTCTTAATATTCTTGCTATGATTAGGAGTATTATTGACAATCTTAGTGTTTCTGTTATGAGTATTTCTAGTACTACTACAATGATAATTTGTATGCTCACTGTTATTCGTAATCGTCGTATTGTTCGTATCATCAGCATTTCAATATCATTATCATTTTTATGTTTGGCATTCGTGTGATTAGCATAAGTTGCATGGTTATCGCCTGTTTTGATAAGCAGCATATTTATGTATACAAGATTGCATTGGCGCTTCGCGCCATGCGCCTTGTTCTGGACGCTTCTCGGAAAAGCAATAAGTCGTCGCGTGTTTCAGCAGAGGGGGCGTCGAGACCGTGAATACGACCACGATCACGAGGACCACCACCACCACCAGCACCACCACAACCACCACCACCACGACGCCGACGACAACGACGACGACGACGATGGGGCTCTCGTCTGAACTGCAGATGGGGCGCTCGTCTCTCGAGGGCCTCCGGAAGCTCCCGATGGGACCAGAAGCGCTCAGAAATTTGGCCCTTCCTCGTCGTCGTCCTCCTCCTTCTCCTCCTCCTGCTCCTCCTGCTCCTCCTCTCGGGCAGGCCGCGGGAGCGAGCGCTCGGGGCGTCAGTAAAAAGGCTGTGCAATAATGAGGCGGCAGCCCGCGATGACAGGCCGAGACCTCCTGCTCCTCCGTAGGACGACGACGACGACGACGACGACGACGACGACGACGACGACGACGACGACGACGACGACGACGACGACGATGACGACGACGACGGCGGCGGCGGCGGCGGCGGCGACGACGACGGCGGCGGCGGCGGCGGCGGCGACGATTGGTCGTTTCCTGAATGCCTGGAGGGGTCCTTGACGGTTGTGGGGCTTCTGAGGTCTTTTCGAACCACCGTCCTGCGAACTACGGCCTCGTGGAGTGTAAGAGAACCGCTGGAAGCTATATTGGAACGGTGTGGTCTCGCGTTCGAGCTCTTGGTGACTCTCCGGACCAGCGGACTCCTTTTGGGCTGTTTTGGGCCGTCTTGGAGCCCTCGTGGGCCGTCCCGGAACCCTCTTTTGGCCGTTTTGGGAGGCCAGGCCGGCCAGGGGCTTTTCGGGGGCCTTCTTGGGACACTCTTGGGGGCCTCCTGTGGCTCTCCTGGGGCTCTCTTGGGAATTCTCGGGGCCCTCTGGGGCCCCTCTTGGGCCGCCTTGGGCTTCTCTTGATCCGTCTTGGAGCTCTTTTGGGCCGCCTTGGGCCGCTCATAGAGGCCTCGGAGGCCGTCCTGGGGAGATCTTGAGAGTCTCTGGGGATGCCGTGGACGCTGTGAAAGCGGAAAAAGCGAATATCTTCAAAAAGCGTACGTTTCCTCAGGGAATGGGACGGTTTTTGGCTCTTGGGGGTCCCTTTGGTGGCCTCTTGGACCGTCTTGGGGCCGTGAAGCGCCCTGTTGCCATCCTGCCTTTGGGCGGCAGCGGTTGGGCCGTCGCCGGGGAAGGTCGTCGCTCCAGAGGGGGCGGTTGGCTGCGCCTGGTCAGGATCCCCTCCTCTATCTTTGAGTCGGGCATGTCCCTTTACAGGAGGAGTAGCCAAACATAAGTTTGATAAAGAATCGGAGGACGATTTTTCGACTTTGCGGACTTTTGCATCTGTTAGTTTTTTTGTTGTTGTTGAATGTTCGTCCTATAGCCGCCTGTAGGGGGACATGCCCGACCTAACTCTATCTCTCTCTCTCTTCCCGCGCCCGGCCCCCCTCTGATGCCCACTCCCGCTCTCCTCTCCGCCCAGTTGGCCCGCTTCTTCGAGGAGGAGGGGGCATCTAGACCTCCAAGATGGGGTTTCGAGCAGATGGGGTCAGAGGGTCGCGCCGCATCGCCGATGCATCGCCGATGCGGCTCGGTGTGAAGCTCGATTATCGCCAACGTCGCCGATGCCACGCGATTCTCCGACCCCATCTACTCCGACCCCTCTTTGGAAGCCTCTAGGGGAGAAGGAGGAGCCGCCCTTCCCACACGCTCAGCTTCATGTGTGGCCATCGTCTACACCTCCGCCTTCCCTCCTGGAGATACAGGCGCCTGCACGCCGGGGCACATCCGACGACGGGGTGCGGAGACAGCACTCGATGTCTGAGGGTGTGCTTGGCCCCACGGGCGAAGGGCAGCACAGCCCACCCCCACCCGCCGCAGCCAGGACCCCCACTCCCGACCTGGCGACCCAGGCGGTCCTGGCTGGGTGCGGGGATGTTTCTGTTTGCGTTCTCGTTGCCTGCACCCCTGGGCTTCGCCCACTCCGGCCGCCTGAGGCCCCGCCTTCTTGTGCTCTGTCTCCCTAATTAAAGCTGTGCGTAGCCCGCCTAGCTTTTAGCGGAAGAGGTTCGCTCTCGCCCCGCAGATCAAATTTGTTTGCGTTCTCGGGGGCCAGGTAACAAAACAAACGCACGCCCAGTCAGGACACTCCGGACCACGAGGTCGGGAGAGGGGGGGGTCCTGGCTGTGGGTGGGTGGGTGGCCTGTGCCGTCCTCAGGTGCAGTGCTGAGGGGACTTGGGCTTCGAGCCCCCTCCCCAGAGATCGTGCACTCCTCCTCCTCCTCCTCCTCCTCCTCCTCGTCCTCCTCCTCCTGCTCCTCAGTCACTCCCCGGAGATCGGTTTCGGTTCCGTGGTCGCCTCGGTCGATTTTCGGTGGCGCCGCCGCCGTGGGCGGCGCTCTGGAGATCCTGCAAGGCTCTTCTGGAGGGCCCCCCGCGGAGGGCCTCGGGGTCGTGGCGAGCGGCTTCCGAAGGCCACAGCACCACTAAGTCAAAACAGATGCCCAATCCCAAAAACGCGAGGGCCAAGACAAAATGCAGGCTCGGAGATTTTGGGGTAGGGTTTTACCAGGGCGACGACGACGACGAACGCAAAACATACCCCGAAATCTTTTGGCCGATCTTCGAATCCTCGGTGAATCCGCGATTTTGGGATTGGGGATGTGTTTTTTCGTGGTCACAGCAAGGTCAGAGCACGTACAGCAAAACCTGTACCCTCGATCCCCAAGCTACTCGAGGAGCCCTGGGGAAGCGCCCTGGCAGGTAGCTTCGGTTGTCCCCAGGTTCACGTCAAGGTTCTGGTTCCCTCCCTCTCCCCCCGTCTCTTCTCTCCCACCCCGCCCGCTCTCGGCGGCTTGAGGGTCTGCCATCTCGCAGGTCAACGCCAGGGAGAAGGAAAAGGAATAGGTACGGTTTGAACAGCTTGTCGCATGCGTGGTATTGTCGGCGTGGCTTCGAAGGGGCTGCTGAACAGGATCTTGGACCTCGGCCGTCACGACGTCGGTGTGCTCTTCATCGGCGATTATACCGCCTCCAGTCTCCTTGGAGGGACCGTAGTCTATTCTGCGCAGGGTGCATGGGGACTTTCGTCGAAGCCCTCGCCCGCCTTCGCCCACCATGGCTACGCACCTGGTAGCTGGACCTGGCCAAGTCTGGCCAAGCGGCCGCACGTTCGGGGCCGCCGCCGCCGCCAGCGCCTCCGCCTGCCGCCTGTCTTAGCAGCACGCGTGACCGATAAGTTCAGGATCCGCAGCCAGACCGAGAAGAAGGTGAAGTTGCGGGTGCAGGACTTTTTGAAGAAGTTGAAGCTGAAGCGGAAGCACCAGCAGCGTCGCTGGACCGAGCCTGCCATTCAGGACAAACATCACGGCAGGAGGCAGAGGAGGGCCATGAAGATCTCGGCGCCGAGGGAGGTGGAGTTGCCGCCCCGTCCGCGACCGCCTGGGAGCTGGGATGCTCTCCCGAAGGACGCGTGCACGAGGCAGCTGCCGTCGAGCCTCCGCCTTCGCTGTCGGTGGGAGTTCGGGTGCCGAGGACCTAGCCGCGACGCATCACGTCGCGGAGTTCACCGACATCGGGGGTTCCTCCCCCGAGGGCACTGATGCACCGCTGGGATAGAAGTACAATGCGAGAAGGAGGTCAAGAATTATGATGTTCCAACCTACTCTAGCCATGATCACCAAAACGAGTTTCGCGCACCAGGAAAGTACCGAAACTTGGGGGTTGTCACGTGTCGGGCCCTGGGAGGCGATACTCGTTCGACATTGTTTCGATACTTTTCTGGGTGCTTGAAATTATTTCTAGGATGTGGTCCTGAAGTACGATGGGAGCAACATGAGTCAAGAAAAGCGTCTGGGGCCTGAGTCTACAGGTGGCAGTATTGCATTCAAACGTAAGACGAGTGAGCCCTCCAGTGCTACGCCTCCTCGTGCTGTGGAGGAGCTCGAGGAGAGCACTTTTCTAGATGAGGCTGGAGCTGCTGATGCGGCTGGTGGTGGCATGTGGCTCTCGAAGTGCACGGTGTACGACTTCGAGACGATGGACATGACCCTGAAGCAGAAACTGCTGGATCGCGGCTTCTTGCAAGTACAGGCCACGGCCTCGTCTTCCTGAGTTTTTTTCGATTGGCCAATCCTTTTGCCTACATCGTGGGGCGGCGACGGCATCATTGCCGGCTCAAACTCCTTTCCTTGACCTCGTTGAGAAGCTTGGTTCGATCTCCTCTTCTTCTACGCCTGGGTGCCGTGTCGGCTGCTCAACCTCTCTCTGCCCCGCCCTGCGGGCTCGTCACCGAGGCAGCCGCGCGCGCAGCGGCCACAGCAGCAGCAGCAGCAGCAGCAGCAGCAGCAGCAGCAGCAGCAGCAGCAGCAAACAACGAACACCCTTCCCTCGCCCCTCCACCCCCGTCGTGGCGAGGTGCCTCGCCGGCCATGTTTTTCGACCCGGCCATGATGGCGGCGGGCGGCCCCCCTCCGCAGGACCGCGCCGCCGCCGGCCCGCCCTTGCCTGGAGGCGGGAAACGGCGGCGAGGAGGAGGGCCTCCGGGTTCTCCCGCCTCTCCACCGTCGTTTTCCCTGGCCTCTTATCATGAAGTCGGGCCTGTCCCTTTACAGGAGGAATATCCAAACATAGTCAAGCAATAGTCTGGGGGAGATGTTTTGACTATTTTTGACCATTTGGTTTGACTATTTAATTTTCGTCCAAAATCTGCCTGTAGGGGACATGCCCGACCTAATCTTATCGGGGGCGGCGAAAGTCAGGCGATCGCAAGCATGGATCAAGGGGGCGTGGATCAGCGACGGGCCCCGCTTCCATGGCAGATCGCAGCCTTCCGCCGCCAAACGAGGTGGCACCGGCCGCACTCTTGGGGAGGCCCCCCCCCCCGATCCATGGCTTTGGCGACCGCGTGCCAGATCCGTGGATCGCCATACAGTGCCGTTTTTAATACCTGGTCCGCGTGCGGACCATGTATCAAAAATAAAGGGTTGATTAATAAATACAAGGATGAATTTATGGATTAGAAATTAATCATGTATTAAAATCCTATATTTTTTAAAATCCAATGTATTAAAAACTGCCCTGTAATCCCTGTTGGCGCGACCCCGAGAGGGAGGGGCATCGGCTCAAGGGGGGTGCCCAGGCCTGCTCGCGTCGTGAGACATCTCCGCACGGGCGGCTCTCGGCCGCCGTGGGCCCGTGGGGCCATCGCCGGGCTTCGGGGCCGTGGCACGAAAACTACTCAGGACCTCCTCCTGCTCCTCCTCCTCAAATTGCTCCCTCCTACTTCTCCTCCTCCTCCTCCTCCCTCTCCTCCTCCTCCTCCCTCCTCTCCTTCCTCCTCCTGCTGCTCCTCCTCTTTCTCCTCCTCCTCCCTCCTCCTCCTCCCGCCTCCCTCCTCCGAGCGGGTCCCGAGGAAAGGGTGAGGGGACCATGGCAGCATTTCTGTCCATATCCATTGCAGTA